TTTTTTTTTTTTTTTTTTTTTTGGTGGAGATGGGGTCTGTCTACGTTGCCCAGGCCAGTCTTGAACTCCTGGGCTCAAGCAATCCTCCCACTTTGGCCTTGCAAAGTGCTATGATTCAGCCCATATCTATTTCTTGAAGATACATTCCTAGGAGTGGAGTGGAGAGCCATGAGGGAGTCGCATTTCAAAAGCTTTTCTTATGCACTTGACTTAAGGCTGAGAGGGTACAGAACAAGAAGAGGGAATTTCAGGCAGAAGAAACCCCAGGGGCAAAAGCTCCAGGGTGGGAAACGGCATTGAGAGTTCTCTTAAGGCCATTTGAAAATAGCAGGAAGGGCCCTGCTGCTTGTCCAGCGACCCCAGGAGGCGGGGTGGGGTGGGGCCTCACTGTTCTGGGTCCCGCCCTCCATCCAGGGCCGCCCTCTCCTCCCTGAGCAGCCACAACCCGGGAGTTGGGGAAGCGCAGGCCAGGCTGACGCTGAGGCTGGAGCTACTGGTGCTCCTGATACTGACAAGAAGCCTCCAGCCAGTGCCCCTGCTCTGTGCCCTCAGGTCACTCTGCAAACCCACCTGGGTCTTCCTTCTAAAGCTCAGCCCATGTCACATCAGCTCCCCTGGGGCTTGGTCCCATAAGACAATGGCTGGCTGCAATGCCTTTAGGAACTCCGGGGGGCCTTCAGTCTCCCCTGACGCACAGCCTGCGCCATGCTCTGCTTGCTTCCTGCATTCCTTCCTGTCCCCTTTGCACACTTCTGGCCAACTTAGATTCTTCTAATGTCTCGGCTCCTTCCCACGGAACAGCCTTCCCCCACACCAAACTGGGTGGGAACCCCCGTAGGGCAGGGATTGCAGAGAGGGCTTTGAAGTCAGGACTCCTGAAGGCCAGGTCATGGTGAGCAGCTGGGGCTGGGGCTCAGTTCTCTAGGTGACGGGATGAGGGATGTCTGATCTCCAGGGAAACTTCAGGACAGGTCCTGATCTTCTGGGTCATGCAGAACCCTGCTTCCTTCCACCTCCCGACTGCCCCAGCGCCCAGTCCCTGCCTCCTTGCCTTGGTCTGTCCACCCCTGCTTCCAGGCCAGCTAGAGACAGGCTGGGGCCGACACACATGTGCAAGTGCACACACGCACAAATCTCCGGGCTCACCCTGGGAGATGCATTTCCATCCTTATCAGTGATTTCCATGGCGGGCTCACTGGGCACCTCCTAGTCTGTCCCTCAGGAGGCCCTGGCCCTGGGCCTGGTTGCCCTGGGAGATGTGGCCTGCTTGAAAGAGGGGCTTCTCCTGCATCTGGAGGCAATGCAGAGTGCAGGGACTGAGGTGTAGCCTGAAGCTGTCACCACGAACAGAACATTTTATCTGAAAATTAATTCAGATGTTGCATTCCACTCCCTAACGTGGCTGCTTAGTTTTGATATTAAAATATTGGTTTTGTTAATTACCAGCGAGTAAGCTGATATTCCGGGTTATGTCACAAGCATCCTGAGGTCTCACGCATCCCCATCCAACCCTGGGCAGCAGGGGATCAGTGCCACAGCCTAAGGAACCCTCCCACTCCACCCAGCCACCCACCCCACCATATTCTCTGTACAAGGAGCCCCCTGGAGTCATGCAATCCAGAGGCCCTGGTGAGAAGGCCACCAGACTGGGGCTGGAAAACCTGGATTCTGTCATACTTTGTCATTAATAGCAATGCGACCTGGGGCTAGCAGCTCTCCTCTCTGGGCCTCTGTTTCCTTGTGTGGCACATGGAAGCTGTGGACAGTCTCCACATGGCTGGACAGTGCCTTCCAGGTCACATTGCAACTCCAGTGGCAGGAAATGCAGGCCAGGTGATCAGCCACAGGGAGCCGATGAGAAGTGGGGGGAGCTTGAACTCCCCTCAAATCACAAACTGCAGGTGGGTGGTGCCCCACAGCACCTCCTGGGTCACCTCCCTGCCCCAGTGTCACAGGCACAGCCTCTGCATCCAGAAGGAGACAGAACCTCCAGGGAGCTCTGTTCCCACTGGTGCCCGTCTGCAAGTCTTCTCCAGGGCCGCCTTCTGGGAGCTCCCAGCTCTGCATATGAAGCCATCCTGCAGCGGCTTCTCAAGGTTGAGGAAGGGGCAGCCGCACTGCCCTCTGGCTCAGTGCAACCCCCAAGCCCCAATCCACTGCCTCAGCAGGGCCAGGGAGCCCAAGCCAAGCCTTCCCAGCCAATGCAGAATCTTCCCATAGAAGCAGCTGTGACTACCTGCCCTCTTTCTCTGCTATATGCAAATGTGGTTCCCCCCCACCTGCCCTCTTTCTCGGCTATATGCAAATGAGGTTCCAGCCCCCCATGGCCCTGAGGCTACTGTGGCCTCCCTCTGGTGCCACCCTACACACCCACTCACTGGAGGAGCCCGACAAGCTTAATCTGGATCTCACCAAACCTCAGTCTATGAAGAAGGAACCTTGTCTGGCTTCCCCTTACAGCTCGGCAACTCCATCTTGCCCTACCCTGCTGCAGAAGTGGCTGAAATCCTGATATTGGTTTGGTTTTGTTTAGCAAACAGGGAGTATGCAAAGCAGCTCTCAATCCGTGTGTGTGCATGTGCACTGAAGATGAGTCAGGAGCCCATTCCAGACCTGGGCCCAGAAGTGTGGCCCTGGGCAAGGCCCTTCCTTCTCTGGGCTTCACTGTCCTGGACTGGAGGAAAGATGGGAACAGGTGGTCTCTAAGGCTTTGCTGGCTCTGGTGCTCTGGCCACCAGGGTCCCTTTTATCCTGATTTCAAGAGCTAGATTTCAAGACAGGATACCCACAGGGAGCCAGCTGAGGAGGCTAGACCACCCTCCCATGCAAATCCCAAACCCACCCGCACACCTGACAGGTTTGCTTAGAGGCATTCTGGCTAAAGGAAACGGGAAAAGCCTCTGGCAGGAAATGGATGTCAGGGTTCGGCCCAGCCAAATGCAGAGCCTGGGGGTGGGTGAGAATTCCAAGCCCCTGGCACACCAGAGGAGAGAACTGGAAGAAACACTTTTGGGTCTCAGTGGGAGAGGCTCCCACTCCAAGAAGAGAGCCTCCACTCCGAATCAGTTTTCTGATCCCAACTCTGCCTTTGCCTGCTGCGTGACTTTGGGCAAGTAGGCCAACCTCTCCCGCTCTCTCTGGTTCCCAAATTAACCTTAGGGAAACACTGAATACCCAGGTCCTCCCCTTGGGATGGACACATGTGTGTTACACATGATAGGCTCTAAGAAGCATTTTCAATAAAGGATTTCACTGAACATGAACCCAGAGTTCCTCCCAGTTATCTGAGCGATGTGATCTCTACTCCATCTGAAGCAAACGAACGCTTGGAGGCTGGTGGTGTGTGCCTGGGGAGCACCAGAACGGGGCCGAAGTATGTCCAGCCAGCTCCGTGGGCCTCTCTGCAATCACGAACATGCGTCTGTGGACTTGTCATTCCCTTCCCTGACGATCAATGTGAACAGCTTCTAGTGTGACCCATGTCTGAGCTGTCCACCGTGGATGGGAATTGGGCCTTCACATGGGACATCTGCCATTGCATGACACGTTGAGCCTCACAAGTTGACATGTGCTCAAACACGCATTCAACGAGTCGGTTCATGAACCCAGGCTCAATCACACCATCCACAGAAGCCACCTGACAATAGCAGCATTTCTTTGGAAAGAATCCTTCTTTCTCTAGGAAAGGATAATCCCTAGTATTTATTTATTTATTTTTATGGCTGACATTTCTGAGCCTCAGTTGCCCCCCTCTGGAAAATGAGAGAGTGGCATTCCATGGCAGAGGGTTGTGTGGATTAGAGGCAATGTATGGAAACTCTTGGCTTAGCTCAGTACCTGCAAGTTCATTCAGAGATGTCCATGGCTGTGGGCTGTGAGCAGGGGGGCAGCTGGAGCTCAGACAGAAGACCCTCTACCGAGGGGAAAGTTATCCACACATAACTGCCATTCCATGTTCAATGGTTCCTAAGCTGTAAGCAAGGAGACTGAGTTGCTCGGTATCAAAGGAGATGGGAGACCTCTAGCTGGATGACCCAGGAAGGCTTCATGGAGGAGACAGCTAAGTAGGCCTTGCAGGATGGACAGGACTTCAGAAAGGGATGTTCACAACTCAGCAGCACTTACTACGTGCTGGGCTGGCCCTACATGCCAGTTTGTAAGAATGGACTGCTGCGTTTGCCATTCTACAGAGGAGGAAGCTGAGCCCCAGAGAGGTTCAGGAACTCACCTGAAGTCACACAGCTAGTCAGGTGCAGCACCAGGCTTAATTAACTTCAGCACACCTGCAAAGTCCCTTTTGCCATATAAGGTCATGTTCACAGGTTCCAGGGTTAGGATGTGGATATCATCTTTGGGGCCCTTATTCAGCTGACCACGGTGATTATGTTAAGGACCTTGAGACGGGACAAAGTATACCTGAGCTCAATGTAATCAGAAGGGTCCTTCTAAGAGAGAGTCCAGAAGGTCAAAGGCAGAAGACAGAGACGCGATGACAGAAGCAGAGGTCCGAGTGACGTGCTTTGAAGGCAGAGGAAGGGGCCAAGAACAGAGGAGTACAGACGGCCTGGAGAAGGAGAAAAAGACAGGAAAACAGACTCTCCTGGGAGCCTCCCAGGGGAAGGAACGCAGTCCTGCAAACACCTTGATGTTAGCCCATGAGACTCGTTTTGAGTTCCTGGCCTCTAGAATTATAAGAGAATAAATGTGTGTTGTTTTAAGCCACTAAGTTTGTGGTCATTTGTCACAGCAGCCACAGGAAACAGATACTGCCCCAGCGGCACTAGCCTTGCCCACCCCTGTGGTCTGGTCGCACGGCCCCTTATGCTTGCTACCGGCTCGTCAGTGGGTCTGTGCACATGGGGGCCGGGTACAGGTCTCCACAACGTGCCTGTGAGCACCTCCATAGCCTTCTCTGCTCCTCAAGCCTCCCCCAGTCGCTCCGCGAAGCCTCGTGCAGTCACCCTGAACCTCGCAGGCACTTAATACATGCTGGTCACATGGCAGCAAATCTGTGTCTTTAATTTTATTGACAGCAATTGAAAGGACAGGCTTTCGACAGCAGTAACTGCCAGTTTCTCCAGCCTCATGGCCTGGCTGTAGAACTGGAATCCCCAGTGGCCAGCTGAGTGCTGGTCAGAAGTAGGGGACAGTCAGCACATCTGGCCGAAGCAGAGCGGGTGCTGGGCCTCTGACTGGGGCGGGAGTCAGCTCTGACTCTCTGCCTGTTGCAGCCAGAAAGAGGTCCACTAAAACCCAGGGTGACCAGGTCCCAGCTCGGTGGGCAGCAGGCCTCCCCGTGGGTCCCAGCTCTGGTCTGCTCTCGGCATCCCTGTCTCCCTGCGGGTATTCTAGCTTTCTGTGCTGTGCTAGAGGAAGGCACCTGAGCACACCTGGAAACAACTTTTGCTCAGAAAGACCCAGGCAGGCTCCCACACTTGGCAGCAGGAGAAATGTTGATCCAGAGAGGGAAAGTGACTTTCCCAAGGTCACACGGCAATTTGGTGAGTCTCAAAACAAGCTGGAAGACTCCCATCCAGTCCCATCTCCAGGAGACCGGAGATCTGGGCATGTGAGGTTGGCCTCCAGGTGACAGGACTGCAGGGCAGGCTGGCCAGGAGCCGGGAGCTGGCGCAGCCTCACTTGAGATTGTGCTGGCTCTCGCGGTGCCGCCGCAGGTCCACCTTGCGCTGGAAGCCCTTGGCGCACAGCTCACAACTGAAGGGCTTGAAGCCCGTGTGCTTGCGGCTGTGGGTGATGAGGTTGGAGCTCTGGCTGAAGGCTTTCCCACACACCTGGCACTTGTGTGGCTTCTCACCTGCAGAGAGGGCAGCGAGGCACAGCAAGGGCGGGGTCAGGGCCTCCTCACCAGGCCTGCCACTCCCCGGCCCCACCCCCAGGGGCATTTTCCAATACCTCTCTCTGTTTTCTCTCATGGCCAACTCACATTCACTTTAGAAAATAATCAGAAAAGAGAGAGAAGCAAAGATACAACTCCGACTCCCCTCCCACCCCTACTGGATTATAGGGTGGTTAGGGGCAGTGGCCGAGTCATCTTGCTTATCAACACATCCCCAAGCCTGGTACACCTGGCACAAAAGAAGCACTCAGCTAATATTGAGGAGGGAATGAATAAGCAAATGAATGAATGAATGAGTGAACAAATGAATGAGTGGGTGAACAAATGAATGAGCAAATGAGTGAACAAAGGAATGGGCAAATGAGTGAGTGAATGAGTAACGAATGGGCAAATGAGTGAACATATGAATGAGTGAGTGAACAAATGAGTGGACAAAGAAATGAGCAAACGAGTGAACAAATGAACGAGCAAATGAGTGAACACATGAACAAATGAGTGAACAAATGAATGAGCAAATGAACAAATGAATGAATGAATGAACACATGAATGAAGGAGTGAACACATGAATGAGCAAATGAGTGAACAAATGAATGAGCAAATGAGTGGACAAAGAAATGAGCAAATGAGTGAACAAATGAATGAGCAAATGAGTGAACACATGAATGAATGAGTGAACAAATGAATGACTGAGTGAGTGAGTGAATGAGTGAATAAATGAATTAGCAATTCACCTGCTAGTCTCACTTCTGCCATGAGATCACCAGTGTTGAGATTTTGCTGTTTCCGCCTGTATTTTTTCCAGGCATGAAGTGCACTTGAGTAGCACAGGCAGCCAGCTCTCCAACAGCAGTGGCCCTCGACTTTGTAACTAGACCCCACCCCCAACCTCAGGCCGGGGGGCCTTCGGTGCATCTCTCAGTGAAAGATGCGGGTGCTCCGCCCAGGGGACTCCGGCCAGCCAGGTGAGCCTCACTCACCAGTGTGGATGTAGGTGTGCTTCTTCATGTCCGACTTCTGGTGGAAGCGCTTGCCGCAGAACTGGCAGGGGTAGGGCCGCGTGTCTGAGTGGATGAGCAGGTGGGTGGACAGCGTGGACGAGCGCTTGAAGGCCTTGCCACACATGCGGCACTCGAAGCAGCGCTCCTGCCGGAGGAAACGAGGCCCCGGGGGGTCAGGTGCAGGCGCAGGACTGGACCCAGCCAGGATGCCCTGTGGAACAGGACAGTCCATTGGGGGCGCCCCGAGGACAGGGCCTGGAGGGGCAGGACCAGGGACCCCTCATCTATGCCTCTCAGGAGGAACTGGGGCTTGGAGCCTCTTTGGTCTCCTGTGGGCTTTTTCCTTGTAATTTTCACAGTATTCCGCTCAAAATAAACCCCGATAAATGTCTGTTGATTGCCTGATGGACTGACTGATCTGAGAGGTTTTTTAGGGGTTCACATTTCATGACCATTAATCCAGAGTGAGTTCCTTGAGGCAGGGATGGTTGTGGTCTGCACAGAGGTTTAGTTAGGAGTCTGAAGTCTGTTAAGGGCAGGTGTTGGAGGCCCAGACTCAGGGAGGTGGGTTCTAGGGGACCTCCCCCAATTCGTGTCACTCACAGGGGCAGGGAGAGGGACCCAGCCGCAGCCCCCAGGCTCCGTGGGGAAGCTCAGAGAAGGGGGCTTGGGGGTCCTGCGCTGGGCCAGGTGCCCACCTGGGAGTGAACATGCGTGTGCTGCTCCAGGCTCACGGCGTGGCCGAAGGTTTTGCCACAGATGTCACAGGCGAAGGGCCGGGTCCCACTATGGGAGCGTCGCACATGCACTTCGAGCCCGTGAGGGGTGGAGAACACCTGGGAACAGGGGCAGCGTGTGAGGCCACTGGGGACTGCAGAGAGGGGGACAGGCCTGGGGTCCCGTGGTCTCTTCCCTGCCCAGCTCTGGCCAAGGCTGCGTGCACAGGGGAAGGGGCACTGGACTGCCCGCTCTGCTGCTTGTTTGCTGTGTGTCCTGGGGAGGTCCTTTTCTCTCTCTGTGGCTCAGTCTCCCATCTGCAAAGTTGGATGTGAGAGAGGGAATCTGGAACACCTCCTGGCTTCATCTAAAGGCTGAATAGCCTCGTGGTTAAGAGCTGGGCGTGCCAGAGCCAGGTTTGAGTGCTGCTTCTGATATCTACTTGCTGCCTGATCGTGGAAATGACCTAACCTCTCTGAACCTTAGTCCTTCACTGCCTCCTGGCACTCATGCCTGCCAATTGCTTCGCACAGGGCCAGGAACATGGTCGGAGCTCCGTGATTGGTGATGAGGACGAACGTGCTGAATCCTTAATCCCACCAGAGTCCCAACATTCACAGCACAGGGAATGCCCAGAGCTGCCAGGGCACTGGAGAGCGGGTGCAGAGAGCAGGCCGTGTGCCCACCCACACCCCCGCGGCCCACCTTGTTGCACTTCACGCAGTGGTACACCTCCATGCCCGGGGAGTAGCGGAGGCTGAAGTCCAAGGGGGGCTCGGTGCTGGGCACCAGAGGGCTGCCGTACAGGCTGACGGAGTGCTCCAGGAAGGCTGACTGCATGGTGGAGGGGGCCTGCCGGTAGCTGTGGCTGTAGGTTGAGGCCAGGGTGTCCCAGGAGAAGCTGGGCTTGTAGAACAGGGGTGAGTCAGACAGTGGAGAGTCCCCATCCTGGGGTCGGGACAGCACAATAGGGTCCTCTGTGGAGATAGGGGCACATGCCTGGTTACTCATTTAAACACGGGGCCGGGTGCAGTGGCTCACACCTGCAATTCTAGCACTTTGGGAGGCTGAGGCAGGTGGATCACTTGAGGTCAGGAGTTTGAGACCAGCCTGGCTAACATGGTGAAACCCTGTCTGTACCAAAAAAACACAAAAATTAGCCACGTGTGGTGGTGCACGCCTGTAATCTCAGCTACTAGGGAGGCCGAGGTGGGAGAATTGCTTAAACCCGGGAGGTGGAGATTGCAGCGAACTGAGATCGCACCACTGCACTCCAGCCTGGGCAACAGAGGAGACCTTGTCTCAAAAAATAAAATGAAATAAAATAAACACAGGGCGCCCACTCCACACCACCCCCCACCCCTTCATGACCTCACGTGACGGGTTTCAGGGTGCCAACCCAAATACTTACTGTTGGGGGTGTCTGTGTCCTCACCGTGGCTCCTCAGCTTTTCCAGCCCAGAAACACCCCCACCCTCAATCCAGAGTGCCCACCTCACCCCTGCATGGACCAGCCCAGCCGCTGCTTCTGACCTCTTCCCCCACCTAAGTTCACATCTGGGGATTTGCTCCCTTTCAGGGAGGTCCAAGCAGAAGCCACAGAGCCTGGGCTGCATCCAGTGACTTCATGGGTTCTTCCTGACTCCAGGGCCCCAAGGGACCTGCTGCAAGGGTTCCTTCCTCCCCTTGGCACTCCCAGGGGAATGACTGGGGGTCGCAGCTGGCTGGGTACCTGGTGCTGGGACCATCCTGGCCAAGTTTTGGTCCTGCTCCAGCTCCTGCTCTAGTTTGAGGCTGGTCCAGTCCAGGCACTGGCTTGGGGATAGGGTGCTAAGGACAGGGCTGTTGCTGGGGGCCTGGTCTCTGGCCGCTGTGGGGAGATAGGACCATTGGCATCAGTAGTTGAAGCTTCTGGGAAGCCCAGAGGGGCAAGGAGGGCACTCTCTTCCTAGGAGGAGGAGGCCCAGAGAGAGACCTACTTGCCGCCGCCCCCGGCCACTCACACTCCGGGGCTCTGCCCAGAGCAGCGGGGCAGGAAGAACAAGAGGAGACCCTGGGGAAGACTTTAGACCAGTCCGCTTTTCTGAGCAACCCTACTCCAGCCCTAGATTGGGTCTCCAGTGAGGCCCCACGTGTCAGTAACTGAGCACTAGCTCCAAACTAAGCCTTTCCTCTCCCAGCAGGGCAGAAGGGATGAGGGCATCCTTTCATCTGCAACCCGCATTTACCGCACTCCTGCTTCCAGACCTGGAAGAAGAGGCTGCTGCAGGAGGGACGCCACTGCACTCCCATCACGCAGAGCAGAGAGCCCCTGTGGGTGCAACAGGGGCCAGCTGGGCTCTGACTCACCCGGGGTAAGGGCAGGTGGCCAGAGTGGTTCATCCTCCTGTGCACGGGGCTGGTGGTAGGTGTGAGCCTTCTTGCTCTTCACCAGGAAGGAGCGTGGCATTTTGTGTGCACCTTACACCTGCAAGGGGGAGGGATGGGAGCAGTGAGGAAGGACAAGAGAACAATACCCCTCCGTATCTCAGAACCTCAACTGGGTATAGAGATCAAACACCAGCTATACCTGGTTGAATAGTGGCCCCCAAAATTCATGTCCACCCAGAACCTGTGAATGTGACCTTATTAGAAATAGTGTCTTTTTGCAGATGTAATCAAGCTATGATGAGGTCATTCCGGGTTAGGATGGGCCCTGAATTCAGTAGGACTAGTGTCATAATAAGAGGGACTTCCGGAGGCCAAGGCGGGTGGATCAGCTGAGGTCGGGAGTTCAAGACCAGCCTGGGCAACATGGTGAAACCCTGCCTCTACTAAAAATACAAAAACTAGCCTGGTATGGTGACGCACGTCTACAATCCAAGCTATTTGGGAGGCTGAGGCAGGAGAATCACTTGAACCCGGGAGGCGGCGGTTGTAGTGAGCCAAGATCGCTCCACTGTACTCCAGCCTGGGTAACAAGAGTGAAACTCTGTATCAAAAAAGAAGAAGAAGGAGAAGGAGGAGGAAGAGGAGGAGGAGGAGGAGGAGGAAGAGGAGGAGGAGGAGGAAATTTGGACCCAGAGACACAGACACCCAGGGACAATGCCATGTGACAACAGACGCAGAGCGTGATGCTTCTATCAGCCGGAGAGTGCCAGCAGGGCTCAGAGCCACCAGAACTGGGAGAGGCACATGAACAGACTCTCCCTTGGAGTCTGCAGAAACAACCCACTTTGCTGACACCTCGATTTTGGACTTCTAGACCTCAGAACCGTGAAAGAATACGTGTGTGCTGTTTTTAAGCCACCTGTTTGCGTCATTTTGTTAGGCAGCTACAAATCCTAACTTCCCTCACTGCTCCGTCACCAGGAAGCGAACACATCACCCCCTGGAAAACTCTCAGACCAGCCTGCTCCCATTGACATGCTCGGGGTTGCACTGGAGCAGAAAAGGAAAGGCAGGGGCAGGGTCTCCCTCTGTGACACATGGTAGAACCCACGTCTAGAAAGCCACATATGGGTCCCAGTGAGATTCACCTTCAGAGGCCATAGGTGGCCTGAGCTTAGGTTTTGGAATCAGAGTTCATGAGTTAGAATCTCAGCTCACTTGCTGTGCAATTTGGGACAGACACTTAACCCCTCTGGGCCTATTCCCTTTGCTGTAAGGGGGGACGTCCAGGCTTGTAGTGCTGATGAGTGCATTGCAGTTGCTCAGTGTCCATCACAGGGGGCCCTGGCAGAGAGGCTGCAGTGAGCAAGGGGACATTGCCAATCCGTGTGCTCCTGCAAGCTGCGAACCACTGCCGCCAGAGCAGGGCTGCGCCTTGTCCACAGCCCTGGCCCAGAGTCTGGTCCCTAGAGAGACAGGGGCCTTCTGTCTCTGGGGAGTGGGGTAGGGGGACTCAAGACCTGAAAGGACCCCCCACTTCACTGCACCTGGAGGCCTGAGGTTTCATGGACGAAGGAGAAGAGGCAAATATCCCCCAGCTTCCGTGGGCAGCCCAGCCCAGCATCACCACTCACCCCACCGATCAGGGAGTGGGGGAAGAAACCAAGGACCTCATCAGTCAAGGGACCATCCCAGGCAGGGCCGGGAAGTGGCAGGGCTGGACCATCCTGACCACCCCGGGATTCCTGGCTTCCCCTGCAGAGCCCATGGAGCTGACAGCCTGCCTGGCCCCCAGAATGGTTCACATCCCTGCACTCAGCCTGTGAGGCTCTCCTGGGGGCTCCTGAGAACATCTTCTGGTGGTCCTCTATCCTTTCTGTCCCCATGCGGTACCCTGGCCAATGCCAGGCCCATGCCTGAGGCCTTGGAGGAATCCCACCCCCAACCCCTTGGGCCAGCCGCCATGCAAGTCTGCAGGGCTGATAGGGCCCAGAGAAGGCGGGAAAGGGATTCCAGCTGCTTCAGAACAGCAGTGAGGGCCTAGGTGATAAGGCTTCAGCCAGGGACTGGGTGGGAGGTGGGAGATTAGAGAATGCAGCTTGGAAAAGGGCCAGGGACTCACCCCTTCCCCAAGGGGATGACCCAGAGCCAGGCAGAAGAGGGACCTGACTGTGCCCAGGCCTGCTTCCCCCTGCCCCAGAGCCTGGGGGCATCAAGAGTTTGAACTGTGGGGACTTCACATGGGGGCCCAGGCTCAGGCCCAGCCAGCCCTTCCCGGCTGTAAGGCTCACTGCTGAGCCTCAGTGTTCATATCTGCTAAATGGGGATCCCACTCAAACCCATGGGATCTCAGGGAGCGAGAAAGGACCTTCATCCATCAGGAGCGAGTATGGGAGGTGCTCAGCACGTGGCCCCTGCATCCCAGCACCCAGCCTGCTGCAGGTGCATTCAAAGGACAGGGTGAGCCCCACTCCAGGGGCTGCAGCAGCCCCCCGGAAGCCAGGGCCACACTCAAGGCCTTGTACTCTCTAAGCTCTAAAATTAGGAAAAAGGGCCTTGAAGGCCTCTGGGGTCCCTTCCCGCGGTCAGATTCTCAGCCTTCTGAACACAGGCTCGGGCTGGGGGCAGCCCACGGCCTTATCTCCCAGGGACACATCTTCCTCCTCCTGCCTCCTCCCCCTCCCTCACCAGGGCTCCCCACACCCACCTTCCTGCCAGCTTCTAACTCTTCTTTGCTTCAGGAAAGCCCCTGGGGAGGCCAGACCCTGGGTGGAGAGGAGGGGACCGCATGAGCAGGGGAAGGGCTGGGGGCTTGCACTTTGTTTTGAGGGGGGCTGTGAGGGCCACGGTTTGCCCGTCAAAAGATGGTCTTTTTTTACACATAATATTTATGAGGAAATCAACTGGAACCAAAGGTACTGGCTGAGGTCTCTGTGATAAGAGGCGCTGGCCAATGCCTTTGGCAGGGGGCTGCTTAGCCTGCCCTGCTTATTACACCTTTAACCCTGACCATGGTTGTGACGCTGACTCCCGCTGCTGTCCCACTTTATACAGGAGGAGTTGAGGCCTGGAGGACTCAGGACCCCAGGGCAGAGTGAGCAGGACTGGGGTCTGTCTGGCTGGCCCCCAGGCCTCCATGCTCTTGACTTTCAGCCCAGGAGGTGGGCAGTTACTCCGTGCAGCATGGGTATGAAGCACTGGGCAGTGCCCGGCACGGCTGTCTCTCCGCAGAGGGAATGGAGCGGATGTGCTAAGGATGAAAACAGCCGTTTGAAGCTCCCCAGTGTGCCTATGTCAAGCAGTGTCTTCCCGGGTTGCCGGTGGGAAAACTGAGGTGTAGACAGGAAAGTGACTCAAGCCCAGGGCTCCTGGCCTGTTAGGATTTCACTCTGAAGCCACTGTGCCACCCGGTACCGTCAGAGGTCCTCAGAGCACCTGGTGAACACGGCCTGCAGCACAGGGAGAAATGCAGGGTACTGGGGCAAGAGGGGAGAAAAATCAAACCCTCTGACCCCCAAGTCTTTTCCAGGTTCCTAAAAGACCCACATGGCTCCAGCAGAGTCTCGGTGGGGCCAGGCTGGGGACAGACTTCCCTTCAGGAAGCATTGGTCTTCCCTTCGGCTCGGGGTCCATGGAGACCCCAGGTCAACTGACTCCAGCCCCAGACCCCATAACAAGGACCCTTTCTAGTGCTCATGAGTCCTGGCCAAGCAATTTCCACCCAGGCACGGTGTAAGCGGGGGCTGGCTTCTGGGTTCTCCAGCCACAGGAAAGTGATTCTCCTGCCTTTTCTAGTGACCTCCCCTGAGCCTCACAACCCCTTTCTTGCCTCAGCCCCAGCATGCTCTCCCTGAATCTGGCAAGTGACAGTGACACAGCCAACGCCATGGCCAAGCCCTCCGGTTCACAGCGAACTTCCTTTTGGCCCCTGTTAGGAGAGTGTGTTTTTTTAAAGAAAAAACAGGAACCAATCACCTATACTGTAGTTAATGAACAACCACTTGGTTTTGATTCACACAAACTCCGTTCTGAGAAAGAGCTAAGAGCAGAGATTATGAAAGAAACTCAGGGTTTCTTCATAAAACAGAGGCCTCGATGGTATCGGACCTCCGGAAAGAGGTCCACAGTTCATATCGCTTCATCACCCCCGGTCCTGATAGAGTGCCCCTTCCCTGAGTCAGAATCTCAGCTAGTGCTCTTAAAGAGAGGTAACCCTGCACCCTGGGGAGCCCACACCCCAAATTCCAGCTGGACTCGGGTCAACAGGACTGTGATGTCCCTGTAATGAGGCTCCTCTTGTCCCCCAAAGAGTTGAGTCTGATTTGGGGTCCTAGAACTTGTGACCACATCAGCCACCAACCTGGGGCTTGGTTTTCCTATCTCTCAACAGGGACGGTTGAGCTAAGAGATTTCTAAACTTCCCTTTTGCTCTAAAATCCCACGTAGAATTCGTTGACCTTCAGTGAGAGATTGAACCACCTTGACTAAGAGACTTGTCACTCGGGTTCCCCTTTTGGGAGGGTTGGGTAAGACTCAGCTGGTTCTCAGGGTCAGCTACAGAGGACCCTTTTGACTTCCTTTATGTTTAAAGACTCAAGGGAGGCCGGCCACGGTGGCTCATTTCTGTAATCCTAGCACTCTGGGAGGCCGAGGAAGGCGGATCACCTGCGGTCAGGAGTTTGAGACCAGCCTGTCCAACATGGTGAAACCCTGTCTCTACTAAAAATACAAAACGTAGGCACCTGTAATCCCAGCTACTCGAGAGGCTGAGGCAGGAGAATCACTTGAACCTGGGAGGCGGAGGTTGCGGTAAGCTGAGACGGAGCCACTGCACGCTAGCCTGGGTGACAAAGCAAGACTCTGTCCCCCCCAAAAAAATAAAATAAGACTCAAGAGGAAAACAACATGTAGGAGTGAGGGGGAAATGAGCCCAGGTCAGGCCCGGGGGCCTCAGCAGAAAGCAATCCTCATCACCATCATCATCATCATCATCATTTTGAGACAACGTCTCACTCTGTCACCCAGGCTGGAACGCAGTGGTGTGATCTTGGCTCACTGTAACCTCCACCTCCCAGGCTCACACGATCCTCCCATCTCAGCCTCTTGAGTAGCTGGGACTGCAGGCATGCGCCACCACACCTGGCTAATTTTTGTATTTTTTGTAGAGACGGGGTTTCGCCATGTCGTCCAAGCTGGTCTAAGTCATTATTTTTATTTGGAATTTAGAAGGAGCTCTCAAATGTCTCCTCCACAGCTCAGAGAATGCAGTCAAAAGTAAGTGAATCTACTTCTGGGTATAGACCCAAAATCATTGGAAGTGGAGACTCAAAGACATGTTTGCATACTCACGTTTATGGCAGCACTATTCACAATAGGCAAAATGTGGAAGCAACCCAGGTGTTCACGGCAGATGAATGCCCAAACCACATGTGGTCTATGGCTGGGTGCGGTGCCTCATGCCTGTAATCCCAGCACTTTGGGAGGCTGAGGCGGGCAGATCACCTGAGGTCAGGAGCTCGAGACCAGCCTGGCCAACATGGCAAAACCCTGTCTCTACTAAAAATACAAAAACCAGGCAGGTGTGGTGGTGGCCCAAGCCTGTAGTCCCAGCTACTCGGGACGCTGAGGTAGGAGAATCTCTTGAACCCGGCAGGCAGAGGTTGCGGTGAGCTCAGATCGTGCCATTGCTCTCCGGCCTGGGTGACAGAGTAAGACTCCAACTCAAAAAAAAAAAAAAAAGAATGCGGACTAGCCAGACAAACATTATCTGGCCTTAAAAAGAAAGGAAATGCTGGCACATACTACAACATGGATGGACCTCGAGGATTTGTGCTAAGTGAAATAAGCCAGCCACAAAAGGACAAACACTGTGTGATTCCTTTTTTTTTTTTTTTTTTTTTGAGACGGAGTTTCACTCATGAGGCTGGAATGCAATGGCGCGATCTCGGCTCGCCACAACCTCAGCCTCCTGGGTTCAGGCAATTCTCCTGCCTCAGCCTCCTGAGTAGCTGGGATTACAGGCACGCGCCACCATGCCCAGCTAATTTTTTGTATTTTTTTTAGTAGAGACGGGGTTTCACCATGTTGACCAGGATGGTCTCGATCTCTTGACCTCGTGATCCACCCGCCTCGGCCTCCCAAAGTGCTGGGATTACAGGCTTGAGCCACCGCGCCCGGCCTGTGATTCCTTATATGAGTCCCTAAAATAGGCAATTTCATAGAGGCAGAAACAGACAGAGGTTGCCGGGGCAAGGGGAAGGGAATGGAAGCTACTGTGTAATTGGTATGAAGTTTCAGCTTTACAAGATGAAACAGTTCTGTGATGGATGGCGGTGGTGGGTGCATAACAATGTGAATACACTTAATACCACTCAACAGCACACTTGAAAATAGCTAAAATAGACCGAGCACAGTGGCTCACGCCTGTAATCCCAGCACTTTAGGAGGCCGAAGCGGGCGGATCACCTGGGGTTGGGAGTTCGAGATCAGCCTGACCAACATGGAGAAACCCCGTCTCTACTAAAAATACAAAATTAGCTGGGCGTGGTGGCACATGCCTGTAATCCCAGCTACTTGGGAGGCTGAGGCAGGAGAACTGCTTGAACCCAGGAGGTGGAAGTTGTAGTGAGCTGAGATTGCGCCATTGCACTCTGGCTTGGGTGATAGAGGAAAACTGCATCTCAAAAAAAAAAAAAAGAGAAAGAAAAGAGAAAAGAAAATAGCGAAAATGGCAAATTTTATGTTATGTGTATTTTATCACAGTATAGACTAAAGCAGCTCCTGTTGGCTTGAATTCCTGGAAAGGAACAAAAAAAGCCGCCCTCTGGACTAAGGAGGGGGAGCATTTGCTTTTGCTTCTACCAGCTCTGGATATTGTGGAACAGGCAGTGAAGAACCCCATTTGATTGGGCTGTTTTCCCTGGGTGATCTGGAGCTCTCTGGTCCCGGAGCCTTTGAAAATCCTTGTACTGTCCTATATATAAGATTCTGACCTTGCCCTCCTAAAAGCCCTGGGGAGATGGTCTGTGCTGGTTTTGAGTGACTCCATTAATCAAACCTAAACCAGGTATAGCATTCCAGTGTCCCCCAAGAACTTTTAGGAAGACCACAATCTGACAGAAAGAGCAAGGAGAATTACGCATTTTCTTGTCCAAAGAATTCCTTCTGCAATACTTCAGAGGATAAGAAACTTGCCACTTTGCTGGACTTGGAAGAAATATTCTACCTGTTGCCTACTAAGAAACACGCAGGCACGTCCCGGCGGTCAGGTGCAGCTCAGCTAGCTTCTAATATCTATGAGACGCACAGCCACAGATTGTAACTGAATTTGCTCCCTAAGTACTCAGGAAAGCTGTGGACTTTCTCCCCAGAAAAATGGACGCAGGTGCATATCCACGGCAATTCTGCAGACCTCCTCTTCACAAGTCCTGTTTTAGAGGGAATGTCTCTCCCCAGAAGCCTCGACACTCACACTTGTTTCTCCTCCAAAAATAGGCAGAAAGGGCAAACAACAGTCGCAGGGAGAGGAGAGCTGAAACAGTACCTCACCAGGATGGGTCCTATTGTTCCCAGGGCCGGGCGGTGTACAGAAGGGGGCAGCCCTGTTGTCTCCCCTTACTAGGTTCTGAAAGAGAGAGTGCCTGCCTCTCAAAGTGTCCTGGGAATTGGCTCAAAGTGCCCCGGGAATTGGAGGTGGCTCATGCCTGTAATCCCAACACTTTGGGAGGCTGAGGCGGGTGGATCATTTTAGGTCAAGAGTTCGAGACCAGCCTGGCCAGCATGGTGAAACCCCACCTCTACTAAAAATACACAAATTAGCCAGGTGTGGTGGCACATGCTGGTAATTCCAGCTACTCAGAGGGCTGAGGCAGGAGAATCGCTTGAACTCAGGAGGCGGAGGTTTCAGTGAGCCAAGGTCGAGCCACTGTGCTCTAGCCTGGGCGACAGAGTGAGACTCTGTCTCAAAAAAAAAGGGGGGTCCCTAGGAAATTTAGTGAAGTTCCCATAGTCTGGGACTGTCTCTGAGGGGGAACACAGCTCAGGCACTTGGAAGTGTGTCGCCCTGAGCACCGCCCAAAGTCCCGGGACAGCTGGGTGTAGGTATGACTTTGTGCCCGAAGGTGACATCTGTCAGTCTAAAATCGAGTTTTGAAAAGTGTTTCTGCACAGCCAGCAAAGGCACAATTCCTAGCAGAGCGCCTCAGATGAGGCTACGGCCCTCACCCCATTTCTCCCTTGGTTCCTGGCCATCCAGAGCTTTCCCAGCCCACCTCACCCTTCCACCCTTCCTTCAGCAGGAGCCAGGGAGCCTGCTGTGAAACCACCTGCGGTGCACGGGTACATTTCAAAAGAAAGTGCACAAACGCATCCTCCAGCACTCACCTGCCCGGAGCTGTCCCTCGCCTGGGTTCTGCCGGAGCCTCCCAAGTTGGGAACTGCAAAGCCTCTCCCCGGGACTGGTCCCGACTCTGTCAACCGTGTGACTCTTTGCACAAATAGATACTTCTCCTTTTTTCTCTGTCTCTCTGTGTGTTTTTCCTCTTCTGTTCCCCTCCCTGATTTTCAATCTGATTATTTGTGTCAAAATCTGGCGGTGAAGAAACAGCCAATGAAGAGAGCGCGGGAGCAAAGCCGTATTTGCTTATCAAAACTTTCCAGGACGCAAGGCTCCAAATTCTCATTTCTAACCCTTGACACTTGAAACGGGACGCATTCTCTCTGCAGAGAAATTCAGAATTTCGCTGGAAATTTTGAATTACTTCTGCACGAAAAGGAAGTAATGGTTAAATTTTAAAAATTAAAGTTAAAATAAAGCATTTACTTGTAAAACTGGACTTTGCATAGAGAAGTCATAGCTCTTTGGTTTTTTCTTTCTTTTTTCTTGCCTTTCTTCTTCCTTCGTTCCTTTCTCCCTCTTTTTTCCATTCTTTCTTCCTCCCTCCCTCCTTCTTTCTTCCGTTCCTTATTTTCCTTCTTCCTGCCTCCTCCTTCCCTCCCTCACTCTCCTCCTCTCCTCTCTCTTTCCTCCTTTCTTCCCTCCTCTTTTCCCCGTTTATACCTCCCTCCTTCCCTCTCCCTCCTCCCATCTCCTCCCCCTCAAGTTCAGCATCATGAGGCTTGTGAGAGCCAGGGTATGCTTGCAAAGCCCCTAGTTCCTGAGCTGGTCACACTCATAGAGGCCCCTCTTGTCCTTGCAGAGGTCACATTTCAGAAGAAACATCAAATTTGCATTTCCCCAGATATGACCCTTGAGCGGATAGAGGCACCCTGGAGGTACGGCAGTGAGTTCCAATTTGGGTACCAGGAGACCCTCGCCTGCTGAAGCTGCCAAGGCCCGTGTGTGCCGCCCTCTGGTGGCAGCCAAAGTGATGGGGAGGCCATTGGGGGCCTCTGGGGTGTCCCATTGATGGCGGGGGCGCGGTAGCTGGATGGAGGGTAGCTTGGCTGGGCAGGCTGGGGCATTTCTTCCCATTTGGCAGGGAGTCCCATCCCCTGGCCCCCCCACCTTCTCCCTCCTCCTCTGGCCCCCACCTCCTCCCGCTTGCAGAATGACTGATTTATTTCAGGAGGTTTTGCATAAGATGAGAACGCACAACACAGTACTGTTAGGCTGCTTTGCCTGCTCGTCCAGCCCGGGTGCTGGAAAGATTGTTTCCCTCATTAAAAAAACAAGTCTG